GCCTTCCAAGTAGCTGGAACCACAGGTGTGTGCCACCACACCCAGCTAATTTTTCGATTTATTGTAGAGATGAGGTCTCGCCAAGTTGCCCAGGCTGGTCTCGAACCCATGGTCTCAGGCAATCCTCTCACCTTGGCCTCCCAAAGTGCTGGGATTATAGGCGTGGCCACCATGCCTGGCCCCTATATCACATTTTTATTGTAACTTTTCTATGTTTACATAGGTTTATTTATTTATTTTGAATTGGGATCTTACTCTGTCACCAGACTGGAGTGCTTGACACCATCACGCCTCATGGCAGCCTGGACTTCCTGGGCTCAGAGTGATCCTTCTGCCTCAGCCTCTCAGGTAGCTGGGACTGCAGGTGTGCATCACCATGGCTGGCTAATTTTTTAAATTTTGTGTAGAGATGATGTCTTGTTATGTTGCCTAGGTTGGTCTTGAACCCCTGGGCTTAAGCAATCTTCTCACCTTGGTCTCCCAAAGTGCTAGCACTACAGGTGTGAGTCACCCCATCCAGCTGTTTAGAACCACAAATACCACTGTGTTACAAATAGTGTACAGTATTCAGTACCAGTAACAAGTTATAGTACAGGTTTGTAACCTAGGAGCAATAGGCTATACCCTCTAGGTTTGTGTAAGTACATTCTATGATGTTTGCACAATGATGAAATCACCTAATGACGCATTTCTCAGAACATACCCCTGTCGTTAATCGACACAACACTATAAATACTTAAAATATCAGATGATTTTTTATTTTATTTTTATTTTTTTATTTTTTGAGTTGGAGTCTCACTCTGTTGCCCAGACTGGAGTGCAGTGGCCGCTCCCAGCCACTGCAGCCTCGACTTGCTGAGCTCCGGCGATCCTTCTGCCTCAGCTTTCCAAGTAGCTGGAACTACAAGTGTGCGCTACCACACCTGGCTAATTTTTTGATTTACTGTAGAGATGAGGTCTCGCCAAGTTGCCCAGGCGGGTCTTGAACCCGCGGACTCAGGCAATCCACTCACCTGGCCTCCCAAAGCACGGAATTACAGGCTAAGCCACCAAGCCCAGCTCAGATGACTTTTTATTTAGATCAGTGTGGGTAGCTGATACACAGCAGATTCTGTAGATATTTTATTTTTCTTTTTAAAATTTTTTTTGAGTTGGAGTCTCACTCTGTTGCCCAGGCTGGAATGCAGTGGCATACTCATGGCCACCATAGCCTCAACTTGCTGGGCTCAGGTGATTCTTCTGCCTCAACCTTCCAAGTAGCTGGGACTACAGGCATGTGTCACCACGCCCGGTTTATTTTTTGATTTATTGTAGACATGAGGTCTCACTAAGTTGCCCAGGCTGATCTTGAACCCTAGGTTCAGGAAATCCTCCCGCCTCAGACTCCCAAAGTGCTGGGATTATAGGCATGAGCCACTGTGCCTGGCTCTGTAGATATTTTAGAAATAACTGTTGAAGCCGGGCTCGGTGGCTCAGCCTGTAATCCTGCGCTTTGGGAGGCTGAGGTGAGTGGATTGCCTGAGCCCGCGGTTTCTAA